TGCTAAATATATAGAAGAGACTTTTTATAACAAGAATATTTACAAAAATGAACAGTAAAATAAGGAATAATTTCTCAACAGAAGAAACCTGTCAATTTCATAATTTCGTAACTTTTGTCGTCCAAGAGAGAACTTGAGGGAAAAACCATACATTGCTAAAAGTGCATAAAAAATAAATGTTACATAACAATTATAATTAAACATAACAATTATAATTAACACAACCATAGTTAATACAACATAGCGAATATGACATCTTACCGTAAAAAGAAGAAGAACCAATGAATCGACATTTAAATCATATTATATCCATAATCTCATTCTCTCCCCATTGATACAATAAACACATATCGAACACATTAAGCTTCATTTCTAAACACCTGCATCAGCATCCCCTTCCATGGACTATGCATGCATTCATCCAACAACAGCATTGCTACCATTCCCTGCAACAACAGGTGCGGGATTTCTGCTTGCCCAAAAAGAAACACCCACGCTAGCGTGTATATCGGGATGACTTCGAGTTCTCAGCATTTCACACAAATCATCGGGTATCATCACTCGCTCAGCCGGATCATCTTCGCTAACAATAGAACGGGACTGTGCATTATTCACACAGCTGCTGAACGGTCGTCGTGTATCGGACGTTGGCGAATTAGGATATGAGCGATAATCATTTCGGTTAAGATCGTAATGACAAGAATTTGTTGGGCTAGTAGACGCGTTAGATGCGTTGGTGGGAGATGCGCTAGAATTTGTCGTCGCTGCTGTCGAAGAAGGACGGGCAGTGTCTACATGACTCGGCCGAGGATGAGATGGTGGTGACTGATATGCGGGTGGTGAACGCTCATTATAGAATGCATTCTTGCGTTTCCTCATCCAAGGATCTTCTCCTAATCCGTTTAGATCATCCTCACTGGATCCGTTTGGAGTGAACGGACTGTTGATGCTGGAGCTACTGTTGCTATTGATCTCACCTCTGCTTTTATCATCCTCTGCTTCACCCTTTAATTTAGCAACTTCTGCTTTGAGTGTTGTTATGGTAGACTTCATTTCTTCCTTTTCTTTTTCAGCCTGCTCTAGACGGCGTTTGAGTGATTCTAGTTCCTTTGCTTTAGCTTCGAGATCTTTGATGTACCTATCTTTACGTTGACGGAAGGCACGTTGAGCAGCACGATTTTGGGCCGCGCGTTTGGTAGTGGCAAGTATGCGACATCCCGGTCGAGATTGGGCTGTGAGCAGGGCAGCAGGAAGGTCTTGGGGAACTTGCGATGAGCTCTGGTTTGCGTTTTAAGAAAAAGTATGTGGTGTGATTAGTGTTAGAGTACGATAATCATATTAATGATATTTTTATAATGAATAACTCCAACCATTATCATAAAAACGTACGATTGAAGAAGTCAAGCCCATCGATTGTGATGCGTGTGATTTTATCTTCTCGTCGGCATGCAGGCTCATCGACACTATATTTCCCATAATTGTAATGTGATAGCGAATACGAATTTTAATATCCGACAATTCAGCCATTGTGCATCACATATTAGGTAAGCGAAAGGAGTATGGATATCGGATGGATCGATGGAGGGAGGGGAGAGGAAAGCAAAAGATAGAGGTGATTAGAAAAAGTCTAGTCAGTTGACGCTAACATGTAAAAAAAATATTGATTTGTATATTGGCAAACGAATGAGTGACAAAGTACAACCATGAAAATTACATGGCTGCTTTCCATACACTTGGAACACGTCTTTTCCGTAAGCCTCGTTTTATAATCTTCTATTCTAACTAATCGAAAAATAAAAAAAAAAAATTTTTTTTCTTTTCCCTTTTTTTTTTTTTTGCATTCAATCTTTTCATCTTTCTGTTAGTTACATATATAACTAATTGTATAATAAATTGTAAAAATATATATAATAGAAATTGTTTTGTATGTATAAAAATGGTCAAAGCGTTGAATGTGTTACTTATTTTATGAGATTATAGAATTGGGGAAATGGTTTGTGGGGAAGGGGAAAGCAAACAAAGGAAGAATAATTGAATGAATAAAAATAGGGGCAATGCATGTGGTAAAATATATACACTGTCGTGATAATTAATAATGATGACAATAGTGACGATAGTGATTATGTACATACAATGGCAAAGACAAAATGTCCAATAGCTTGTTGATGGACTATCACTAAAATCTAATCTATCGCATATCTCACATATCTGAAACCAATCCTTCAATTCTATCTATTTTCACTTACATGATGCATTAGCAGAATTGTGGAATCCGTTGCCGAATGGAATAATTCCAGCATGGCCTGATCCCCCATTTCCAAATCCTAAACTTTGCTGCATTCACTTGTCACCGAGACCTGCCCAGGCAGGATTCTGTGGCTGCAGCTGCGTGCCTATGCTGGAAGTGTTGATTCCGTTGCTTGCGATGTTGTGACTTGCTGCCTGGCCGCTTCCCTGTGTTTGTTGCAATAGAACTTGCGAGTGGTGAGAAGCACTTTCATTCAGCGGAGGCATACCCAAGTAATATTGATTTGGAGGAGGGGTAGGGGGAGGAGGATGAGTGGGTGTCGAAGCTACATATGACGTGTTCATTTGGGAGCGATAAATCGCGTTTTGAGCTTGAAGCGATGGTGCATACACAGCGGTATTGAAGGGAGGCGTGGGGGTAGTCATTGTTGGTTATTGGGAAATAGGGAGTGTACAAATGTGAGTATGGAGAGTATAGTGCAGACGTCTGAAAGAAGGTTCAATAATGGGGTTACTTAGTGGTAGAGAGAGATGAGTTTTGTTTTTATGTTTAATCCCTTGTTGGATGGTTGGAACCAAAGCGAGTATTAATATAACAAAAATTTTTGGGTTTATTGTAAAAATGTTCTGTATATTGTTATTATATTATAAAGTTACGTATAAATACCGGAAATAAACCGAATATAGAATGGGGGAGTTTATATAATGCATTGACCACAACAAATATCACGAGAAGAAAACTTAGTTTTATTATTATATTTATATTGAATTGATTTATTTATATGGAGCTATTACAATAGTATATTTTTATATTACGTTTATAATAAATAAATTTAAACCTCCAATAGTGATTAGGTGCCCCCGGTCGAACACCATTTTTTTTTTTCTTGTATTTGATGATTAAAATCATAAACATTAGATTAACAATGTCAGGTGTAATATTTAGCAAAAATTGGAATATCATTATACAGAGAGGCAAACACAGACGGATAGAGGAAAAAAGAAAGAGAAAGAGAGAGGGAGAAAGAGAAAAAGAGAGAGAGCGAGAGAGATTAAGTTGGAAATGAAAGAGAGAAGAGAGCGAAAAAGAAAAAAAAATTTTTATTAATATATATGTGTGCGACATGAATATGATGTTGCACCAGTTTTTTAAATCGTTGCTCAATCAATTTATTTTCATCTTCGCCTTCGGATAAACAATAATTTTTTTACTAGGCAATTGATCATTTTACACACAAGACGATCGCAAAAATTATAATAGTCGGCGTCACATGCAATCTAATCTCAAACTTTAAGCTATAAAGGACATAAGCCACGTTTTATATTGAATTCATACCAAATACATAAAAACGACCGACTTTGTGTTGAATACTCCACAATTTTGATTGAATGTCCCATTGGCTTAGAACATCTATTTTTATGGTCCAAGTGTCTGTGTGTGATACAACGATCAAATAATAATAACTTTTTATTTATAATATTAAATATTATACAATAGTAACAAACAAACCACGAATCTTTCTACAACTCTCCCCAGTAATGGGCTCTCCGACTTGACCACTTGTTGACGCAACATGCTGTGAAACACGAACTTCATATCATCATATTATCAAAAACTGGGGTAGAAAATGGTCCGTGGAAGACAGCATATAAACAGATCATATCACCCAGCGGATAATAATCTACCGTTAAGCATATCCCTTTCAATGTCCGATCTTTACTTATTAGCATATCTTATTGCTTATAGTAAGTAACGTTAATCGTAACTTTTTGTCAGTGCGCTCTATTCAGTCACGTGTAACGTCTTCCTACTCGGTTACTAAAAAGTACTGTATTCTCACTATATCCTCTCACCATACTACCAACACCATAAACAATGTGCTCGCTCGAGCCTTCACAATATTCCTTATTGTTTCAATGCCCTCCACTTGTTGCATATATCTTTCACAACCGACGACTGCATATGCGTCCAAGCTGAAACACTAATTATGATCTCACATGACATCAGCATTTTTTTTTGCTTTAATATTTTGGAGACAACGCAGTGTTTCGCATATAATACTCGCACCGTAGACTGCTTTTCTCGCAAGCCTCAATTAGCACGTCAGTTTTTGGCTTTTATAACAAGTGTCAATTATCTCGAAACAAACCATATTTCGCCAAACTATATTACAAACCCCCCCCCCCCCCCTCCGAATTAACCTCGAGCTCGCTCAATCGTTTATCTCCATCACATCAATCCTTGTTCACGTTTCACCCAGTCAGCTCGACCCCTCACTGCACTGTATTTTCTTCATCACTTCATTCGTCTTCATTCTCCTGCACTGTTCAGGTGAGATAAAAGTTAAGTTCATCGAATCCTTGAATTTTCAAATGTTTGTCTATTAATTGTGGCAATGCCCTGGGAGATCTGTCAGATGTGGATCAACAATTGTGGATTAGGTCATATTATATGCTGTGGTATATTATGTAATTTACTAGAGAAAGGGATGGAAGAAAAGTTTATCGGAAATATGTTAGAAATACAATAGATCTGGCTACTTTATACTTGTGCATATAATATTGAAAGATATATAGATAATGGTAAAAATAACGCATATCTACCATTCGTGTATGATTTCCCTTCTGGCCTGAATTTATCATCTGCACAAAGCCGAGAACATCTCGTGCGTATGTACCCCCAATTTTTCAGTCTCCTTCATACAATGCTTTTACACATTTAATTATTTCCTTGAGAACAGTAACGATGCGTCTGTAATGTCAAAGTTATCATTCAATATTTTGCAATCAAGAGAATAAATTGATATTGTTCTTGATTGGGTGCCTGTTTATTTACCCTTAAGTAATCAATGTTCCGCAACTACTTCTCCTTGCATCATATATAACCTTCTCGATTTAGACGGACCAAGGTCAATAAACATTACCGTATACTGAACGTATTGTACAGTTAGTACATATTCTATATCCAATAAACTGTCTGTTTCTTAAATGGCGACCCCCCCAAAACGGAAGAATACTCCCCGACAGCTATTAGCTTGTCGTCTGGAATCATATGGGATATGCAACATAGAATGGTAAGGTTCAAATTGCACATGGCGAGACAGGAAGAAGAAATCAATTCGTAAATGTGGGATGGCAAAGGCAAACTAACTGGGTTGTTATAGGCATGAATCCTTTTGATGGACGATTGAGTGAATGGAAAACCTTGACAGTTTAAAAATAATGTAGAAATTACGTCATTCTCAACGCACACATGTGACAAATCCATACAATCCAAAACGCGTCGTCACAAAAGTCTTCATCGACAAGCAACACGCACAAACCCCGAGTATGTTCAAACGAGGTAAACTGACTCGATCAATCGGCACAGCATCCGACCAAATTACTTGTCTAGTTTCACATTGGATCTTGTATTTTACAAACAGGAATAAACGTACCCGATAAATACCAGGAAAGGGCATTGGCAAGACGAAGGGGTGCAGGGTAGGTAGTTCTGAAAGATGCTGGAAGCAGCTGCTAGTGCATGGACTATATGAAAGACTTGTGAACAGTCGCGATTAAAGATAACTCGTATGTACCGGCCGTGTTTCCTACATTAACCCCTCACTTTTTCGCTCCCATTTCAGATCTCACCAAACCCTGGCACGAAACTTTCAAATAACCGTGTCCAAAGACACCAATTCTGCGGATTCTCACGCAACATACGAAAATTATTCTTCGTACGAAGACTCCCAACCAATTCCGACAAAACCCAACAGTCATATAAATAGTAATAACGATAGAGACGTTGAAAATGGTAAAAATAATAAACCGTTGTTTTTCCGAGTATCCGACACCTCAAGTCATAGCTCGATTATCGAAGATATCCTCAGATCTTCTAATTCTCCTGTTACTAGATCTGATAGCAAAGCAGCAGGTAAACATTTAGATTCTTCTCGCTTGATTTACCGATCCGCTAGTAATGCATCTCTCGTATAAAAATCAAACTATTAAGACGCTTCATTCTTCCATTGACCCTATTCAAAATACTATTTTTTTTTCATCAGGCACACAAAAAAACTATCAGCTCTCTTACTCCCGTCGCGATTTAACTGTCATCACACCACGCAGTCGTATGTCATCTAACACCTCTACCCCAGCAAAAGTATCCACGTATACTCCTAGTTTACCCTCAAAGAGTAAGAACACAGGGCATAAGAGAGTTGTCACAATCAATAGCTCGGAAGACGAATATATTGCTCCGTTGACGGAAAGTTTGCGGAAAGACATTGGGAAAGGTAGAGGGAGAGGCAAAAGTAGTGAGGAAAAGGATAACAGGAAAAGTCAGAGTAAAGTGACTAAACCGCGAGGAAGGGGAAATGGGGTTGGTACGAGAAAGGGAAGGACAACAAGTAAATCAACGGAAAACAAAAATGGCAGAGTAAAGATAGAGTGTCATAAGATAAAACGCGCAGCCGGAAAGGACGAGCAAGGAAACACAATACAAAAAAGCAGTTGCGTTGCTTTGAATGAGCTTGATGTCATTGCTGATGGAATTAGAAAGATTATTGAGGAATATCTGTAAGTTTCATAATTCCAAGCGTTGTACCATTAATCAAGGTGGTTTTTGAAATTATCTTTGTTCTATTAGTTCGTTCTCATTGGTTTACTCTTATTTAGAAATGACATCGATAATGATCGGTTAAGAAAGGATATTAGCTTATATGAAAAAGAAGTGGAGCTCCGTCTACTAGAACAGGTGCATGCGTATTCTACTTTATTTCCTGATCAATCCTTTTTTATAATGCCTTCCTTGTGTACTGAGACATGCAATATCGAACACGAAAGACCGACTTATCAGATGACCGAGTAGCACTACAAAGTCGTCTCCGCAAGGCCAAATCGAGAAAAGCTACCTTGCGCAAGGAGCTTTTGGCGATGCAAAAAGAACGGGAGCAAGTACACGCGGAGCTTAGTAAACTCCGAGCGGAATATGAAGCTGAAGAGAAAGCGAGAAAGGTATGATCTTGCGCAAGCTGGGAGAGTTGAGAGCACCGAGTGAGTTGGTTATGACAACGTGAAGATACAAAATGTTTATAAAAAATAGAGAGAAAGTATTAGGCAAGTCCCGTTCATCAAGCTAATTATACGTATCGTTTTTGCAAATTTTAGAAATTAGAACAAGTTCATAACTTTCTTACGGAATTGGAACTGCTTCGAGAATCTGTTGCTGCCGAGCAGAAAAATGCATTAGATGTGGAAAGCCGTCATGAAAAGGTAATTTAGTTTACTTTATTTTTTATGCAAGTTCAATTTCTCCTGATGGTTTTCTTCATTCAATGTTAATTCGTCTATTATATAAGGACGGTTTTGAAGCCATTTTATCGTCAGTCACATCTCATTGCAGCAGCTTGTCACTTTCACTTGCTCCTTCAGAATTAAATCAACATGCTGAGGGTAATCTTGCGGTTTTGAAGAGATTTAATGATCTTCTTGAAGCATGTGATAGGGTTGTACGTGAGGGGGCTATAATGGAAATTGGGGATGAGGTTGGGTAGATTTGTGAGGAAGAAGTTGGTGTACTATGGAAATTTTTGACAAGAGGTTAAATCAGTAAATTTAATGTAGAATTTGAGTATGCGTATTGTATATAGTGTATTAATATTTAATAAATACATAATGCTGGACCATATCCAATATTAGTATTAGATGCTGATTTAAAAGGATGGTTGTAATATTAACGGAATATGCTTTGGATATTCTATCTTGTATACTATTATTTTTTTGTATTCATCACATGTTAATATTAATATGGGGCAGACTGCAACAAAATCAAAGTGAATATTAATACACGTATAAATAAGCAGTGACGTCTCAGTCCAGCAAGAGGACAATATGTAGTGAATCTATCTCATCTCTCATTACTTTTGTCATTTAACCTCTCACCCTAAACTGTCAATTAAAATTTTCATCTTGCACTTGTCTAAAGTTTAAAGATTTTTTCTCAGCGTTTTTTCATCTAATTCTTTTTGAGTTAAGTTTTGAGAGCAATTTCAACAACAAAATTTTTTATGTGTTCTCCATTTTCTTTGTCTCACCAGTTAATTTCTAAATCTGATGTTTTGCCTTTGATATATTGCGGATGGGAAAAAGGGCATAAAGTTAACTCCTATCTATATCCCCTTTCTGCTATTTTACAATTAAAACGTTCTTTTTAAGTCATGATTTTAAACTGTTGTATTAAAATAGTTTTTACAAAAAAAAAGAGCAAGAAAAAGAAAATTCTATAATTACTGTATATACTGTATATTAATATGCAAGAATGAAACATTAGAAATTTCAGTAAGTTTTTGTATTAAAATTTTTTGTCCAGCCTTTTATTTGTAATAGTACATTATTATTCTGCTTTCTTTTCTTAATACATAGTTTTCGTTTCTCTTTATAAATTTCGTAAGTAATTTTTTCTTTATCTGGAGAGTTTGGGTATTATTTATTTTAAGAACGTAAGGCGCAATCTTTTATCCTTGAGCCTTTTTTAGAATGCTTCTAATAGTAATAGTGCTGTAATTCTTTGATTCCATGGTGGATTTAATGTAAATTAGTTTCATTATTTATATAAAGATAGCGCTATATTAATATTAAGCATATTTGGGGTATACTGTAACAAAACCACAAAACCAGACAAAGTGAACACTGTTATGTGACATACTGTAAATGAGAGGCTGACGTGGCTGAAAGTTAACTAATTTGGTTAATAACATTTTGATTATTACAGCTGTAATATATAATAGTATCTCAATATTAATATACAATTATTATTATGTAAATCACACATTATGCCAAATGTAACTATATTCAACTTATTGAAACAAGCTTTTGCCTAAAATTACAATTTAATATAGATATAAATTTATGTTTATATAAAAATATAAATTACCTAATTTTAGTACCTTTTTGCTTTTAAATTCTCCAATACTGCGTCAGCTTTGTTGTTCATCCATCTCACATGTTGATTACTTCTTTAGAAGCTGTATCTTCTTCTTTATTATCTTTAGTACGTAACCATAATGCAACTTGACTGGCATCAAATTCAGTCTTTTTTATTTCTAGCTTCTAAATCTTTTCAAGTTAAGCCTTTTGCCTTACTTATACTCAGGATCAATGCATTGACTAATGCATTATTAATAATCAAAGTCGCAAACCGGCCTAACCAATCCCCATTAACTGAAGCGAAACTCATGACGTCTTGTGAACTTTGCAACTATTGCTTCCGGTCTCTTGATTCTGGACAAGAGATAAAATCGCACCTCGACACAGTTATTCTCGTTCACATTGTTATTCTTAACCAATTGGAATCATTGGGGATGATAACTCGTTTGACTTCAACTTTGTCTTTTTTGACTATCGCGTTATAAAAAAAAAATTAAATTTACTCTGTAAAAATTCGGAATTTCAACAGACAATTAACATTATTCTTTACTTTCTTACTATGACATTTACTAAAATATCCTCTGACTCATTAGATAAATCAGAGTCGTTGCTAACAGTACAAGTTCAAAGAAGTTAACATCAAATTTGCATATTATTGAACAAGCAATATATTAAATAAACCCACGTCGGAATGTATTTGGACGAAGAACCCTGATTTTCTGGCGTTCGTGCCACTTTATTATTTTCATCTACTTTTATTCTTTCTACCGAATCAAATTCTATATCAGCATATAATTGAAATCCTTGTCGTGCTATCTGAAGGAGCAGGCAAAGGGGTTTTTTGGTTCCAAACAACCAGCTTTTCTCTGTAAAATAGTAAACCAGAGAAGGTCGCTAAATTATATCAAAAACGTTTATATTAAATTATTTGCCTTTCCAGAGCTGACTCCAGCTCAGTCAGCTCGGTTTCCACCTTCAGTGATGCGATCCGATCCCTTGCATTTCAGATTTTCTTGTTTTCCTCATTCTTGGAAATATCCCATATATAAGAATACAAAAAAAACTAATACCATAATATGATAAAATTCTTCGCAACGTATGGGAAGGGAAGTTCACAAGAAGCCACGGACGCGCGGGCCTACTCCCCTGACACGCGGGCCCAACCAAACGTTTCCATGGCCACGCACACGCTGGCGCTACCCGTCGGTTTGACACGCAGGCAAAACCTTCTCAACACACAGCTGCCGGATTAGCCATGAGCAATCGATATCAAATTCGTAGGATACTCAAAGTTTATAGAACAGCTGTCTCTCAATTATTGAGAAGTACCATTAACGGAGACAACCTTGCTGCTTGTCATGATCTGTATCTGAAATTATTAGTGAGGGTCAAAAAATTTTATTGTTAAAAAAATAACGATGACTTAGCTAAATAGGCATTGTTAATTGACATTCAAGATGCTCTTGATAAAGTATTTGGCACTTAGACGGGATTGGGACAAGGTATAATGGTAATGAACAAAATTTTTAAAAAATAATTAATATTAAAGAAAACCAATAGTAAAGTTTCTACAAACCATTCTTTTTTCTTGTAATAAGAAAGGCTGGACTGTCAAATGGTGTTCTGCCATTTACAGTATTTAAAAATGATGGTGTCTGGAAGATTCTGGTACCAGATTTAATATTAACATTGTGAATATGATTCTAATACTAACGGTAAATTTTTCCAGTGCTTTCCTGGAGCCATTAGTAACATAAATAAATCAGTTTGACCACATAAAAAACTGAAAAGCATTTACAGTTAAACCTTTTTATATCGATATTTTTTATACTGATAATTGTATTTATAACTAATAAACTTCTTTTATCAGAGTCAGCCCTATTAGATTGTAACTGTCAGCGTATACTAATACGCTTTTCCATAGAGATGTATTACCGGTGGTGTAAAACAAATTTATGATACAAAGTGTATTAAATAGCTGGTGTGGTTGAAGGATAAATCTAAGTGATTATAATATTTTAGGAAGACTTGTTTAGCAACACAGCTTTGGCTCATAAACTAATTTTTCATTACATTTTTAAATCTATATCTTGGAACTTTTCCCTAGAAGTATTATTGTAGTATGTTTGTCTCTATATCAAAACGTTAATATGAAGCTAATATACAGTACATCGAATTCACCTTAAAACCGAAGAATTAGTGCTATTAGAAGCATACCAAAATTCTCAAGGAATATTTATATAAAGAAAGAATCTTTATGAAATTTATCAAAAAAACGAATAACAAAAACTAATAAAACGAGCATTAACGCCAACTACCAATATTGTACGGACGACAAATTTGTTAATATGAAACTGGTCCATGTAATTTTCATACAATGTATTACTTTAATGGATTATGTTCATTGTTTTGGTTAATTTTTTACCGGATTGTAAAAGCTCGTTTTTAAAGTCTATCAATTTTCATTAATGTCTGCACAAAGGGAAAAGCATTATTGCAACTCCAAAATTGGACCACAATACAGAAATTACAAAAGCTGTAGAATTTCATTGAACAGCGATTACAAAATATCTTGCAGCCTATGAATTTCAGAGAACAGCAAACCAGAAATTTTTAATTTTTCAGAAAGACAATACATCCGTTCACACATCGCATTGGAAGTGATTTTGAAAATAATATTCGTGATCCATCTCGAAGAGAATTCAAGCTGTGATCACAGCTAATGGAGGACATATGAAATACTAAAGTATTAATTCCGAATATAAATATGAATTGACTGTTGTCTTAATAAATTTTTTTTTAATTACTGAAATAAAAAGCGTATATTCTGTCTTCAAATGAGGTGTTTGTTTAGGAAAATGTTTAATTTGATCTTGATTGGGTTTTCAACGGAGTTTCTAAATTGTATCAGTAAGTC